AAACCATATGATCATCTCAATAGATGCAGAGAAAGCATTCAACAAAATTCAACACCCATTTATGATAAAAACCCTGCAGAAAGTATGCATAGAGGGAACTTTTCTCAACATAATAAAGGCCATATAAGACAAACCCACAGCCAACATCGTCCTCCAATTTCACAATGTGTATGGAAACACAAAAGACCCCGAATAGCCAAAACAACCTTGAGAAAGAAAAACGGAGCTGGAGGAATCAGGCTCCCAGACTTCAGACTATACTACAAAGCTACAGTAATCAAGACAGTATGGTACTGGCACAAAAACAGATCAATGGAACAGGATAGAAAGCCCAGAGATAAACCCACACACATATGGTCACCTTATCTTTGATAAAGGAGGCAGGAATGTACAGTGGAGAAAGGACAGCCTCTTCAATAAGTGGTGCTTGGAAAACTGGACAGGTACATTTAAAAGTATGAGATTAGATCACTCCCTAACACCATACACAAAAATAAGCTCAAAATGGATTAAAGACCTAAATGTAAGGCCAGAAACTATCAAACTCTTAGAGGAAAACATAGGCAGAACACTCTATGATATAAACCACAGGAAGATCCTTTTTGGCACACCTCCTAGAGAAATGGAAATAAAAACAAAAATAAACAAATGGGACTAATGAAGCTTCAAAGCTTTTACACAGCAAAGGAAATCATAAACAAGACCAAAAGACAGCCCTCAGAATGGGAGAAAATATTTGCAAATGAAGCAACTGACAAAGGATTAATCTGTAAAATTTACAAGCAGCTCATGCAGCTCAATAACAAAAAAACAAAAAACCCAATCCAAAAATGGGCAGAAGACCTAAATAGACATTTCTCCAAAGAAGATATACAGACTGCCAACAAACACATGAAAGAATGCTCAACATCATTAATCATTAGAGAAATGCAAATCAAAACTGCAATGAGATATCATCTCCCACCGGTCAGAATGGCCATCATCAAAAAATCTAGAAACAAATGCTGGAGAGGGTGTGGAGAAAAGGGAACACTCTTGCACTGCTGGTGGGAATGTGAATTGGTACAGCCACTGTGGAGAACAGTGTGGAGGTTCCTTAAAAAACTACAAATAGAACTACCATATGACCCAGCAATCCCACTACTGGGCATATACCCAGAGAAAACCATAATTCAAAAAGAGTCATGTACCAAAATGTTTATTGCATCTCTATTTACAACAGCCAGGAGATGGAAACAACTTAAGTGTCCATCTTCGGATGAATGGATAAAGAAGATGTGGCACATATATACAATGGAATATTACTCAGCCATAAAAAGAAACGAAACTGAGCTATTTGTAATGAGGTGGATGGACCTAGAGTCTGTCATACAGAGTGAAGTAAGTCAGAAAGAGAAAGACAAATACTGTATGCTAACACATATATATGGAATTTAAGGAAATAAATGTCATGAAGAACCTAGGGGTAAGACAGGAATAAAGACAGAGACCTACTAGAGAATGGACTTGAAGATATGGGGAGGGGGAAGGGGAAGCTGTGACAAAGCGAGAGAGTGGCATGGACATACATACACTACCAAAATAAAATAGATAAGCTAGTGGGAAGCAGCTGCATAGCACAGGGAGATCAGCTCGGTGGTTTGTGACCACCTAGAGGGGTGGGATATGGAGGGTGGGAGGGAGGGAGATGGAAGAGGGAAGAGATATGGGAACATATGTATATGTATAACTGATTCACTTTGTTATAAAGCAGAAACTAACACACCATTGTAAAGCAATTATACTCCAATAAAGATGTAAAAAAAAAAAAAATAGTAGGAATGTTCTCTTCTATTTCCTGGAAGAGTTTGAGAAGGATTTAATTCTTTAATGTTTAGTAGAATTTCCCAGTGAAGCTGTTTTGTGCTGGACTTTTCTTTATTGGAAAGTTTTTGATTACTGGTTCAGTATCTTTTATTGTTATGTATCTATTTAGATTTTCTGTTTCATCTTGAGTCATGGTAGTTTATGTGTTTCTGAGAAATTGTTCATTTCTTCTAGGTTATCCAGTTTGTTGGCTTACAATTGTTCATAGTATTCTCTTATAGTTATTTGTATTTCCGAAAGATAAGTAGTAATATCCCCACTTTCATTCCTAATTTAAGTCTTTTTTTCTTTGTCAGTCTAGGTAAAAGTTTGTTTATTTTGTTGATTTTTCTTTCAAAGAATCAACTTTTGATTTAGTTCATTTTCTCTAGTGTTTTTCTCTTGTCTATTTCATTTATTTCTTCTCTTTATTATTGCCTTCCTTCTGCTAGCTTGGGGTTTTGTTTGCTCTAATTTTTTTAGTTTCTTAATTAAGATGAAGGTTTATGTTATATTTTTTTGAGATCTTTTTTCATGTAGGTGTTTTCAGCTATAATTTTCGCTCTGAGCTTTCACTGCATTCTGTAGGTTTTAGCATGTCGGGTTTTCATTTTCATTTATTTCGAAGTATTTCCTAATTTCCTTGGGAGTTTTTTTGACCCATTGGTTGTGTAAGAGTATGTTACTTAATTTCTGCATATTTGTGAATTTTCCAATTTTCCTTCTTTTAGTGATTTTTTGTTTCATTCTGTTGTGCTCTATATGATTTCAATCTTTGAAAATATATCAGATTTGCTTTGTGATCTAACATGGAGTGTACCACTGCACCACTGGGGAAGCCCTATATTGAGGTTTTTAACAATGATTCTATATCTGTCTATTTCTCCCTTCAATTCTGTCAATTTTTGCTTTGTATACTTGCTCTGTTGCTATGTGTTATAACTTCATGATGGATTGTCATTCTTATCAATATATAACGTTCTTCTTTATCTCTTAAACAATTTTTGACTTAAATCCATTTTTCTCATGCTAGTATAGCTCCCCTGGCTCTCTTTGGATTATTATTTGCATGGAATGTTTCTTCCACCCTTTCACTTTCAACCTGTTTGTATCTTTGAATCTAAAATGAGTGTCTTGGGCCTCCCTGGTGGCACAGTGGTTGAGAGTCCACCTGCTGATGCGGGGGACACGCGTTCATGTCCCGGTCTGGGAAGATCCCACATGCCGTGTAGCAGCTGGGCCTGTGAGCCATGGCCGCTGAGCCTGTGCGTCCGGAGCCTGTGCTCCGCAACGGGAGAGGCCACAACAGTGAGAGGCCCGCGTACCGCAAAAAAAAAATAAATTAAAAAAATAATAATAAATAAAATGAGTGTCTTGTGAGTGCGTTACAGATGGTTCGTGAATTGTTTTAGTTTATTTCTGTTTTTTTTAATGCACGCTGCCAGTCATTGCCTTTTAATTCTAAGTCAAGAGTTTAGTCCATTTACATTCAGTGTAAGTACTGATGGGGAAGTACTTCTACCATTTTGTTGTTTTCTATGTGTCTTATGGCTTAAATCTTTTTTTGTTCCTCAGTTCCTTCCTTCTTGCCTTCTTTTGTGTTTAATTGATTTTTTTTTTTTTTTGGTAATATACTGTATTGATTTACTTCTCATTTCTTTCTTAGTATATTTTTTAGTTATATTCTTAATGGTTACTCTAAGGAGTACAGCTAACATCTTAAACTAACAACAACTTTGAATTTATACCAATTTAATCTCAATATTATACAAAAACTCTGTTCCTTTACATCTCTGTCGTACAATAAGTTACTGTTGTCACAAATTACATTATTAAACATTGTGTGCCTGTTAGCATAGATTTGTAATTATTGCTCTATGTATGTATCTTTTAAATCATAGAAAAAAGAGAAATTATAAACCAAAAATAAAATAATACTGCCTTTTACATTTACCTGTGTAGTTATTTTTAGTTATGTTATTTCTTCGTATGGTCTTGAGTCATTATTGATTGTCCTTTTATTTCAGGACATTTTAGTTATTATAGTTATTCTTATAAAGCAGATCTACTAGTGATGGAATTTCCTCAGCTTTTGTTGTTCCTTCATTTTTGAAGTGTAATTTTGCTGGATATAGAATTCTTCTTTGACAGTTTTCTTTCAGCCCTTCAGATATATTATTGCCTTCTGTCCTCCATGGTTTTTGATGACAAATCAGATATTCATCTTAATAAGCAAGTTCCCAGTTAGGCAAAACAAAGGCAAGCCCTTCATTGGTCCTTCAGGGAGTACCCAGACAGGTCAAAACAGAGAAACACAATTCCTTGGAAACAAAGTCTCCATAGCCCCTTTTGGAACCAGAACTCACAGTGGGAACTCCAGCTTTTGTCTTCAAGGCTGCTTCCAGGCTGGGGAGGGGATTGGGCAAAGGCAAGTTATATTGCCAGAAAGCTCTCCTACCACATTTCAGCCCCTTCCTGATTAAAAGTTTACTTGCTTATTGTGAACTTTTACTTTCTTGGAGAGTTCTGATAAAGTTGATTCTGACAGAGTTTGCAAAATTTTTTTGGTGTTTCGGGGAAGGATAGGCCCCCAGAGTTCCCTTTTCTACCATTTTTGCTGAAGTCACTCCAGAACAAGAATTTTTTTAAAGCTAGGTTCTCTGTACTTCTAGCAGGTTGATAGCAGGTTGCAGATGAAAATACTAAGATAGGCAATCTGTTTAAAACAAAACAAAAGAAAACAAACTATCTCTTCTCAACAGCTGACCTTCATTCACTTTGACTCTGTAGTCCTTCATGAATTTGTATAGTGTATTATTTTCTCAGTTAAAAAAAGTAATCTAATAATATACTCTTTAAAATATATAGAAGTTAATAAGTCAGTTTACCATGGCACTCTTTAGTTTGAACATGTTTTATGTCTTATAAGAATCCATTCAGGTCATATTTTTAAAATTTTCAAAATAGAGCTGTGATATGTTTATTTTTGTTTCTGGAAATATAATGAATTTTTAAAAATTCCTTTTCCTATTTTACCAGGTCGGTTTGAATTCCTTATAAAATATTTTAAGAATTTTTATGTTATGATAGTAGAAAATAGCTAAAGAGGAAAAGTGAATGTAAAGTGACAATTCCTTTTTTCTTTTTCTTGGCAGGTTATTAACAAATTCAAACAGACTTACAACAACCAGAAATGCAGTATGGGCCCTCTCAAATTTATGTCGAGGCAAAAATCCTCCTCCCAACTTTAGTAAGGTATTTGTAAAATACACAAATTAAGGAATCTGTCTACATAAACTTTTAAGTCTCCTTATTATAGATTTTTAGAGATTAAAGGGACTTTACTCTTTTTTTAGTAATTACTTTTTTTATTGACTAGACAATATTTGCACATACATAAAATCAAAATATATACAATGGAAAGGCTCACTTTATTTTCCAAAAAAAATGTCTGCCAAATATCTAAGACTGAATAACGATTAACAGTCTTTTAAGTAAAAATGATATTCCCATGGGAAAAAATAGCTAATTCGGCTTGTAACTCAAATGAGTGTTTTTCCTGGGGATCACCATCTTTTCTGATATGCAGAAGTGTTCTATGTGTACTTCCCATTTTATCTCACAATATATTCAGAAGATACATATTCAAGGGTTGAGATTTAATAAAATTAGTAATTTTTACTGCTTCTTCAAGGTTATCCTTCCTCCCCACTTTTAACTACAAGTGTGTGGACATGAAGAATACAAAGATCTGTGATACATTTTGGTATCACTGCTTTGATTTGTGCAAATGTGCTGATAGTTTTACCCACCGTTTCTTTCTTTTTTATTTTAATGTCTTTATTGGAGTATAATTGCTTTACAATGTTGCGTTAGTTTCTGCTGTATAAAAAAGTGAATCAGTTATATGTATACATATATCCCCTCTTTCTTGTGCCTCCCTCCCACCTTCCCTATCCCACCCCTCTAGGTGGTCACAAAGCACCTAGCCGGTCTCCCTGTGCTGTGCAGCTGCTTCCCACTAGCTAGCTATTTTACATTTGGTAGTGTATATATGTCAGTGCTACTTTTTCCCTTCTTCTCAGCTTACGCTTCCCCCTCCCCATGTCCTCAAGTCCATTCTCTACATCCCTGTCTATATTCCTGTCCTGCCCCTAGGTTCATCAGAACCATTTTTTTTTTTTTAGATTCCATATATATGTGTTAGCATACGGTATTTGTTTTTCTCTTTCTGACTTACTTCACTATATATGACATAGTGAAGTTTTCTTTTATATTTTTTTAATATTTTTCTTTTATATTTTTCATGCAAATGTCAACAAAATGAAAAAGGCCAATTATGTGTTAGTATAATTATGAAAATAGTTTTGGCATTAAAGACCCCCTAAAGTTTTCAAGGGGGTCTTTGGACCACACTTTGAGAGCCACTGCCCTACGACACTGCTTAATATCTACCTAATTCCCTCATCTTTAAGTCTTTGCTTAGAAGTTACCTGTTCCATGAGCTCTACCCTAACTACTGTATTTAGTGTAATCTATCACTATCCCCCAGCCACGCACCCCCACATTTTACTCTTTTTTTCTTAACACTTTTTAGCATAATAATGTGTTTATTATCTTCTTCTAAAATGTAAACTCTTTAGAGTTAGGAATCTTGATCTTTTTTGTTTACTTACATATTCCAAACTTACAGTGTAATATCATATTAATAGTGCTTAAGACTTTTGTTAAGTAAATTTTCTGTGATTTTCTATGGGAGAGATTCCTTTATCATTCAGAGTTTTTTGAAATTTTATTTCCACAATCATATTTTATATTCTCAACAATAATTTTGTATGTTGATTGCTCATCTTTATGTAGAATTTTGTTCTTTTATGGTTTCAGCAAATGTTCTTATCTGTGGATTTATAATTTTTGAAGTTTTCTTTTTTCTGATGTCTCTACATTTTTGTTTTGTTTATGGTTTGTTTGTCTTGATCTCTTTCCTACTGGAGGCTCTTCTCATATATCTGGTGATCTTTGACACGCTGGAAATACTCAGGAGGAAGGCACTAAAAAGCTGATTGGAAGATGGGTGTACAGGCTTGTTATCTTATGGGCTTCATTGTAGGATAATTGGGCAGCAAAACCATATTTTCTTTGAGGAACTCAAAATTTCAGTATGTTTTCTAAAACTGTTTTGTTTCTCTAGAGACAGATTTTTCCACTCTCCTATTGGAATGTGGGTAGATTGGGTTGACTAGGTAATACCACTTGAGATCTGGGAGCTGGGAATTGCAAGAGGGCTGGAAGTTTTCAATTCAATCAGTATGTAACTTTTACTTAATCTCTATAGTTTCCAATCCAGTGTTCAATTTCAACCTCTATGCTTGATACCCCAAAGTTCAGTTTCTGTAGTTCACCAGTTGTGGTCAGGTATAAATGTCTACTGGACTCCTCAAAGATGAGATTTGTATTGCTATTTCTTCTTTTCCTTGTTTCTGGGAAGCCAGAAACAGAAATGTTTTTATCTTACTTTCTTAAAACTAGAACTCTGTAGGACTTGGTTTTTTAAATCATTGAGGGTGTGTGTGTATGATTTGGACATAGACAGGGCATCCCAAATACATATTTAATTATTTTTAAGAACTTTAAATTACCACATATCTTATTCAATATAAGATAAATAGGAATCGTAATCAGTTTCATATTTATATATAGTTTTCATGATCATAATTTTAAAACAATAGAATGTCTTAATTTCTCCGGTATTTTTGTAGCATTAAATTTTCATTTTAAACAGAGTAGAAACAATTTTCCTAAAGAAACTTTGTTTTAGATAGAGAAAAATTTTAAATACTGGCTCTTTCTTCCCTTCCAGGTTTCACCTTGCTTAAATGTCCTGTCACGATTGTTGTTTAGCAGTGACCCAGATGTATTAGCAGATGTGTGTTGGGCCCTTTCTTATCTCTCCGATGGATCCAATGATAAAATTCAAGCTGTCATTGATTCTGGAGTCTGTCGAAGATTGGTGGAACTTTTGATGTAACTATAATTTATGGTTAATTGTATGATTGTGTTTTAAGTTGAGCAGTTAGAGTAATGGCCTTCTAAACATCTCAAGAATCACTATCTTCAGGAAGGATTGAAAAGCTACCAAGTCCACTCTGCAGAATAGCTATAATACTGAGAATTTGACCCTTAAACTTAGTTCTTATGTCCTCTATTTGGAACTAATCAGTTTGTTAATGAATTTTACTAGTTTTAATCTCTTCAGGAATGGGCGGGACTTAGTTCAACAAGTATTTATGGAATGCCTATTACCTGCTAGTGTTGTGCAATGTATTAATGATGTATGGAATACAGTTCCTGCTCTCACAGAACCAATAATCTAGTTAATTGTTCATTACAGTAATTAATTTGTGTATAAGCCCGTGCAGTGAAAAACATTTAGTATTTCACTTGTATTAAAGATCATGTTTCTCTTTGCTGGGCTATTATTGCTACCTTCTTTAAATAGAACTGATTTGCTTTACAAAGAAGTTAAAAAGTTGTAAGAAAACTTGTTTTAGAAAGATATTGTAGTTTCCTCATCCTCTTCTTTTAAAAAAGTGTATTATCTTTCATCCTTTCTTCTTTTGTCAGAAAACCATTAAGTAGGCCTAAACAAGGTAGATGGTAGAAAAAGAGAGGTTCGATAAGGGGTTGTAGCCCTAGCTTGAGGACAGCATCTGAGGAGGATGGGAAGACAGATCCAACAGGGGGATCAGATCAAGACCCAGGTTAAGGATGGCACCCACTAGAGCAGAGCAGATAAGCAGGCTGGAGCAGGGGTTGGAGCCAACACACTATGGGATAGGATAGCAGCTTAGCTGGATCAGAAGACTGGCCATATATAGAGAGATTATGATAATAGAATCCAGCTTCTTATTCTTAGAAAATGGAGATATTCATATGAAAAGGAGAAAAGCCAAAATAATCTTGTGTTATTAGATCTGAAGTAGAGGTATCAGTGTGAACTCATGGCTTTCATCATAAAAAGATAGATATAGAAAAAAATGTATATGTAAATATATGTGTATGTATGTTATGTGTCCTCTTAGGGGCCTGAGAGCAGTGACACATCTGTACTAACAAGATGAGCACACCAAATGCATAAATCTTGGTTTTTAAACACTATTCTCCACCACATAGAGTTAACAGGTTCTTGAAGAAATGACTAACTCCAGGGCTGGGACTGAGAAAAAAATAAGATGAACCCAGAAAGTAATGAGTTCTCAAAGAATAGAGAAATGTCAAAAGCCCACAGAAGTCCACTTGAAGGGACTCCTACTGCTTAAACCTGGGATGATTTGAGCATTGAAATAAATTGTAGTAACATAACTTATTGAATAAAATAGGAATCCATGAGTCCACACTAAAATAAGTAGATAGATCAATAGATAGAAAAGACACATAGTTGAAGTCATAGCATTAGAAAATCATCATGGGCAACAATACTAATAATTATTAATAATTCAGACAATAAATATCAAGATATGCTAAAACTTATGGTGAAAGTAGGTTAAGGAATGGGATTTTACATAGCCTAAAAGTAGTATTTCTTCACAAAACAATTATAAAGGGACAAACGGTAATGTTGAAGTGAAGAAATCTGGGAGACACCATCTTAAGTGACCAGAGGCCAGTGCCACTATAATGGACAAAATAGATACCATATGCCATCCAATACTATGTAATGAAAAGACTGTATAGCATTTGTGACATCTCAGCCAAAAGCATATAACTTGGTCTTAATCACTGAACAAAAAAAACCCAAATAACTAGCTTGTGATTGTCAAAGGGAAACTAAGGAACTGTTTTGAGTTGAAAGAGACTAGAGAGACATGGGTGCAACACATGATTCTGGGTTAGAGTCTTTGTTATAGGAATATTACTGAGATAATTAGTGAAACTTGAATGGGATCTCTGGGTAGAGAGTATGCAAGAATTTTCTGTACAGTTTTTGCAAATTTTCTGTAAATTTTATTATAGTATGTAAGTTCATATTTTTATTACTTTTAGGCACAATGATTATAAAGTTGTATCACCTGCATTAAGAGCAGTTGGTAATATTGTGACTGGTGATGATATACAAACACAGGTGAGTTCAGACTTTAATGTGATGAACTGGTGACATAATGAACTTTAAGAAGTTTATCATGTTTCATACCACTTGATTACATATTAATCAAGATGTTAGCATTACCATAATTATGCAGGCATCTACAGTGTGACAGTAAGCATATTTTTGATAGTAAGCAATCCATCTCAGATACCTCTATCTGAAAGCACTATCCTAGACCTATATTGATGTAAAGAAGTACAAGATAGGAGTTCAGCTCTTGAGGGGTTTACAGTTCAATTGAGCAGAAAATATATATTGAAACAAAGCAAATTACCTGAGGTAGTATGTTTGCTGAGAACTGATTTGTCAGTAAATAGTATAAAAATTTAAAACAGAGATCAGTGTGCTGAGAAATCTTTGTAGATTCCATAAAGGGGTTGGAACTAAAGCTAAATCTTAAAAGTGGAGAAGAATTTCAGCAGACTAGAAGAAATTCATGTGACCATAGGTACAGAGACAGACGTGTGAGTTATGTTTAAGAAGCATTAAACTTGACTGGTAAAGAAACTGCTAGTGAGATGGTGATTGGTTATAAATAGGTTAAAAGTGGGGTTGGAAATGGAAGGGGCTTTTATAGTAAATTGAAGACTGATTATGAGAATGGAAGGAAGGATAGCAAGGAAACATTTCCAGATTGGTAACTAACTCTGTGTGTGTGTGTGTGTGTGTGTGTGTGTGTGTCTTTGTCTGCCTATCTTGGAGGATGGTGAGGTGTCAAAAAAAAAAGGTGTGTTGTCAGATTGACTTCAGATGTGGGGTGGTCTTTCTTGAAGACAGAAGCTTAAACTCTGAAACATTAAATCCTCCTTTGTTTGCCATCATAAAGTAAACTTTTTATTCTAATCTACATTCTTTCAGTTTTAATATTTTAAAGTCATATTTAGATACTTACCTTAGTTATCAAACAGATTTTTAGAAATTGATAATTATTAATTTAAAATAGCTCTTTAAAATAAAATGCACTTCTAAACATACACTGTTTTGAGCAGAATTTCGGTGCACTGCTTCATATGTTTTTAACCAAGTAAACTTAATGTAAATCATTGTGGGTACTGTGAAAATGGAACATAATCTTGCCATGGAATAAAGAATGTAAAGAGACAAAGCAGACTATACTTACTTAGAAAAGGAAAATGGAAAATGGAACAGTAAAAATTTTAATGAAACAAACAGACTTATACACATTAAGGTTTCGTAACAGTTATGGAATTAGATACTTTCAGACTGTTTGAGATATGTTGATAGATAGATATATTTTTCCCTGTATATTTTTTTCATTTGGCAAAACTTAGAGGATGGTTGCTGACCAATCACTAAATCTCTCTTCAAATAGTTGTATCAGTCGAACTCTGAATGTATTTGTAAACTTGAAGGACACACCTCTGAATATGCTGCTTTTACTTGCAGATGAGTGGATTGAGAACAGGGCACTTCACTACACCAACATTGAACAACTTTTGGCAAATTGGGAGGGTAGAGGACAGCAAGTGCTTAAGTTTTACTTTGAGAGGAATTGCTTTTTTCTTTTTTCTCAATGCAGTTAATGATTTTTAATGCAGAATGATTTTTGTGTTTCTAAATAGTATTTTTATTTGAAGTTTTGAATTTTATTTATTTTTTATACAGCAGTTTCTTATTAGTTATCTATTTTATACATATTAGTGTATCTGTGTCAATCCCAATCTTCCAACCACTACCACCCCACGCTTTCCACCCTTGGTGTCCATACGTTTGTTCTCTACATCTGTGTCTCTATTTCTGCCCTGCAAACCGGTTCATCTGTACCAAATAATTAGTATATTTTTGTGTAGTTTTTCTCCAATAAAACTTTCTATTTCCATTTTTTTGTTGTTGTTTGTTTTAGGTAATTTTGAATTGCTCTGCATTACCCTGTCTCTTACATTTATTGAGTAGCTCAAAGGAGTCAATCAGAAAAGAAGCCTGCTGGACTGTTTCAAACATCACTGCTGGAAATAGAGCTCAGATTCAGGTAAATACCTTTCAGATCTGAAAAAACAAGGAGATCTCAGGAGTCATTTTGGGCGAAAGTCATTTTATCAGTGATTTTTTTTTAGTGAGTTACTAAAAAAAGATTCTTAAAAAGTGTTTTAAAGAACTGGACTTTCCTCCTTTAAAATAATAACATTTACTTGTAGTAGGCATTCTAGTACAGTGCTTGACACATAGCATTTAGTCTTTAAAAAGGGATTGAATTTCATTAGGCTTAAATATAAGTTAGGCAATGATCTTCCTCTCAAAGCTTTTAAATAATGATTTATTAGTGTCCCATCAAGCTCCTTGAGTCAGTGATTACTAATGCATTTTGATCAATCATATGTTGGTGCTTTATCATCTTTAAAATTTATATTCTGCTAATTAATATATTCTCCAGTCTTAAAAAGAAAGTATGTGAAAGTTTGTTGGAAGATTGGAAATAAAATATTTCCAAAGGTGTTTCCAAAAAGTCTGACATTTTAAAGCCAACAAGTTTCAAAATTCATCTACTTCCTAATATTTTTAAAATAGTATTTGCATTGATTATGATTATTTTTTTCTCCTCAGGGTGTTGCAGATGCAAATATTTTTCCTGTATTAATTGAGATTCTTCAGAAAGCAGAGTTTCGCACCAGGAAAGAAGCAGCTTGGGCGATAACTAATGCGACATCAGGAGGCACTCCAGAACAGATAAGGTGTGAAACAGATTTTTTAAACTGTTTTATAAATGTAAATAGGACAAAATTTCAAATAATACATATTTTTTATTTGTTGATGAAACTAAAACATTATTTCTAAGTTAGTTTCTTAAGCATTTCTAATATGAAATGACAGCATTTGTTATATCAGTTATTCACTCACAGTGGTTTATTTTTTTCATTTAAAGTATAATTAACATCATTCTTGGTAGACTACTTATGAAAAATCAGAGGTTAAAAAAATCTGAAGAAGAAGCCTGTGTTAATTTGAAAAATATACTATCATGGGCATTAAGTATTTTTTAGGTCATTAAAATCACATGCATGTAACTTTATAAAATGGCTAATAAATTTAAATATCCACTTATTTAAAATAAAATTGAAACAGACATTCCTAATTGGTTGTTAGCTTTACCTATGGATAGTATCTCACTTTTATTTTTCCATAAATTATTCTATTTTTTCTTAGGATAGCTTTTTGATTCTAGCCTTTTATTGTTTATTTATTTGTTTCTTTTACTAACAATATAAATAATAGGTATATGGGCTTTGAAGTCAGCCTGCTTTCAAATCCTGTTCCTTTAATAAAAGATGTGTGACCTTTACAAAGTCATTTAGTCTCTCTAATCCACAGTTTTCTTCATTTTTTAAATGGATTCAATAATGGATAGTACCTTGTGGTAGTATGTTGACAATTAAATGTAATTTGTACATTTAAAGTGCTTTAGCATGGTGCCTAAACGTTAAGGTCTGTACTAAGATTAGCTATTATCATTATTATAATTTATCATAATTTTTATTATCAATTCCTAAATCTCTTTTCATCTTCTGCTTTCACTCTTTTTTTTTTTTTTTTTTGGCTGCACCTTGTAGCTTTTGGGATCTTAGTTCCCTAGCCAGGGATAGAACCCATGCCCTCTGCAGTGGAAGCACAGAATCCTAATCACTGGATCACCAGGGAATTCCCTGCTTTTACTCTTTTTTCCTTGATAGCAAAATTCTACTTTGCAATTCTATAAAAGCCTGACTTCCTACAGAATCTTCTTGTTCTGAGGATCCCTTCATGAAACTCAGGACTTTTTAGGTTTCTTGAAGTGAATATTTAGGAAATATTTTCTAATGCATATTTGATTTATTTCTTAATTTATAAAACAAGAAGTCAGTCTGCTATGCCATTTTACAAATCACGTAGAGGATTTTGAAATCTACTTATTGGGAGATCATTGTCTATTATTGTCTTCATTTCTACTGTTATCTTCTTTTCTCAGATTCATATCTCTACATGTTGATAACATCTGTCTTTGCTTTTTATTTTCCATTTCTCTTCTTTGATTTAATTAGTATTATTTCCACTTCATTTGTGTTATGAATACAAGCAGTAATAAAACAAGGTCTTTCATTTGTTCTAACTTGTATTTTTTTTAATGCTGGTGTTATTTTTATCTGCTTAGGGGCCCAAAGTTTGTTTGTCCACCTATAAACAGTTGTATTTTTTTCAATTTATTTTCATCTTTGTGTCTGTTCCATATATTATTCCTTAAAATGTATTAGTATGGGGCTTCCCTGGTGGCGCAGTGGTTGAGAGTCCGCCTGCCGATGCAGGGGACACGGGTTCGTGCCCCGGTCCGGGAAGATCCCACATGCTGTGGAGCGGCTGGGCCCGTGAGCCATGGCTGCTGAGCCTGCGCGTCCGGAGCCTGTGCTGTGCAACGGGAGAGGCCACAACAGTGAGAGGCCCGCATGCCGCAAAAAAAAAAAAAAAAAAAAGTATTAGTGTGAATCAGGTGTCCAAACTGAGATCACTATTTTTCTAGCCAGTTTTCACTATTTCATTAACTCTACATATATGGGAAGAAGTCTTGATCTCAGATAAGGTTCAGCATGCATATCACTAATACTTACTGAGTGCCAGTTGTTGTGCTAAGTCATTTCAATTATTGAGCATCAGCAGTGCATCAGATACTTTCAAGTATTTTATTTTCTTTAACTTTATAACTCTGTGAGATAGTTATTCATTCAGCAATTATATTTGATCAGTCACAGTAATAATAGTATATGGCAAGTGAGTGCTCCAGTGAAGGTATGCACATTTAAAAAAGCCGGGGGTTGGGGGGATGGAAACTGTTACTGAATACCTGCAGTATTCTCGCAGCAACCTTCTGAGTTTGGTACTATTATTATTCCCACTTAAGATGTGGAAACTGAGGCACAGAGAAGTTACTCAAAAATCACACAACTAATAAGGAGTGGAATTAGGACTTGAAGCCATGCAGCCTGGCTTTAGAGCATATTTAATATGGACTTCAGGACATGCTTAATGTGGACTTTTTGCCAAGTGAACAAATCAGTTACTTTAAGGAGCTAATAACAACTAGAAAAGGAAAAAAGCATTAGGAAATGAGTAGAATAGTTTTTGTGATCATTATTTATTAAAATTATTCACAACATGGCCTGTTTTGCTCCTAGAAGCCATCTGTGCTTCTGAAACATAGCAGATGTTTTACGACATTAACTACAATTGTTTTTGTGGGAAATTTCCTGAAGTTTGATTTAGATGTCCTCTCCATCTTCATTTCTACCTATCCCCATATGACTCCATGTGTTTCATGGGCTAACTAACCATAAAAATCAAAACCAAAAATAAACCTTGAGCCCATTATTCTTAGTGCTCATATGCTATGCAAAAACAGGTGTAAGTACCAGTTTGCTTGCATGTATTTTTTTCTAATATTTGTAATACCATTTATTGCTAATTATGTTAAATTATGAAACTAGGAGAGTAAGAATTTTCAGGTTCCTATGTAAGTGAAAATTTAAATTTTTGATGTTTGAGATTGTATAAGAATACTTAATTGTTTATGTAGCATTTCGCTGAAGAATATTTTCATGTCATTGCTATAAATTATATTTATTCATATCTTTTAAAATGTTTTTTCCCCACTTTTCTTTTTTTAATTACTCTGAAGGTATTTGGTAGCCTTAGGCTGCATTAAACCACTTTGTGACCTATTGACTGTTATGGACTCTAAAATAGTCCAAGTGGCTTTAAATGGACTTGAAAATATTTTACGTCTTGGAGAACAAGAATGTAAGCAGAATGGAATAGGGATTAATCCATACTGTGCCCTCATTGAAGAAGCATATGGTAAGCAGTCAAAAATTTATAATTACTATCAATTTTTTTAATTGAAATACAAGTGATATATTGGTTTCATGTATATAACATAGTGATTCAATATTTGTATATACTGCAAAATGAGCATCATAATTTTAGTTCATGTCATGAAACATAGTTAAAATTTTTTTTCTTGTAATTAGAACTCTTCAGATTTACTCTCTTAGAAGCTTTCAAACATACAATACAGTATTATTAACTATAGTCCCCATTGCTGTACATTACTTCCCCAAAGCTTGTACAAACTAGAAGTTTGTGCCTTTTGGCAGCCCCTTTCACCCATATAATTCACCCCGCACCTGCTGCCTCTGGCAACCGCCAATCTGTCTGTGCTCTGTATCTATGAGCTCGGTTTTGTTTGTTTGTTTGTTTGTTTTTTTAGATTCTACATATAAGTGATATTATACAGTATTTGTCTTTACCTATGACTTGTTTCACTGACTGTAATGCCCTCAGGGTCCATCCAGGTTGTTGCAAATGGCAAGATTTCCTTCCTTTTTATGGCTGAATAATATTCCACTGTGTGTGGAGTGAATATACATATATACATATACATGTACATTTTCTTATCCATTCATTCTTTGATGGATACTTAGATTGCTTCCATGTCTGGGCTATTGCAAATAATGCTGAAGTGAACATGAAGGTTCATATATTTTTTGAGTTAGTGTTTTCGTTTTCTTCAGATAAATGCCCAGAAGTAGAATTGCTGGATTATACAACACTTATATTTTTAATTTTTTGAGGAGCCTCTGTACTGTTTTCCATAGTGGTTGCATCAGTTTACATTCCCACCAACACTGCACAAGGGTTCCCTTTCTCCACATTCTTGCCAACACTTGTTATCTTGTCTTTTTCATAATAATTATTCTAACAGGTGTAAGGTGATATCTTGTTGTGGTTTTGATTTGCATTTCCCTGATGATTAATGGTGTTGAGCATCTTTTTATGTACCTGTTGGCCATCTGTGTATCTCCTTTGGAAAAATGTCCATTCAGATCTTCTGCCCATTTTTTAATTGGATAGTTTGGTTTTATGCTATTGAGTTGTATGAATTCTTTATATATTTTGGATATTAAACCCCTACCAGGTATATGATTTGCAAGTACTTTCTCTCATTTCATAGGTTATCTTTTCATATTATTGACGTTTTCCTTTGCTGTGCAGAAGTTTTTTAGTGTGATGTGGTCCCACTTGTTTATCTTTGCTTTTGTGGTCTTTTCTTTTGGCATCAACTTCAAAATTCAAAAAACCATCGCCAAGACCAATGTCGAGGAGCTTACCGCCTATATTTTCTTCTAGGAGTTTTATGGTTTCACGTGTTACATTTGAGTCTTTAATCCATTTGGAGTTAGCTTTTGAGTATGGTGTAAGATGGTGGTCCAGTTTCATTCTTTTGCATGTAGCTATCATTTTCACAGCATCACTTATTGAAAAGACTGTCCTTTTCCCCCATTGCATATTCTTGGCTCCTTTGTCATAAATTAATTGACTATATATGTGGGTTTATTTCTGGGCTCTCTATTCTGTTCCACTGATCTGCTTATATGCCAATACTATACTGTTTTGGTTATAGCTTTATAATATAGTGTGTAAATCAGGGAGCATGATGCCTCCAGCTGTGTTCTTCTTTCTTAAGATTTCTTTGGCTATTTGGGTTCTTTTGTGGTTCTATACAAATTTAAGATTAATTGTTATATTTCTGTGAAAAATGCCGTTGGAATTTTGATGGAGATTGTATTGGATCTGTAGATTGCTTTGGATAGTATGAACATTTTAACAGTATTAATTCTTCTAATCCATGAGCATAGAATGTCTTTCTGTTTATGTGTGTCTTCTTCAGTTTCTTTCATCATAGTTTTCATTGTACAGGTCTTTCATGAACCTCCTTGGTTAAGTTTATTCCAAGGCATTTTATTCTTTTTGATGGAATTGTAAATGGGATTGTTTTCCTTATTTCTCTTTCTGATAGTTTGTTATTAGGGTATGCAACAGATTTTTGTATATTGATTTTATATCCTGTGGCTTTCCTGAATTCATTGATTAGTTATAACAGTTTTTTGGTGGGGTCTACAGTATTCTGTATGTAATATGCCATCTGCAAATGGTGACCGTTTTACTTCTTCATTTCTGAATTGAATGACTTTTATTTCTTTTTATTGCCTAATTGCTCTGGCTAGGACTTCCATTACTATGTTGAATAAAAGTGATGAGAATGGACAATCTTGTCTTGTTCCTGATCTTCGAGGAAAAGCTTTCAGCTTTCCACTGTTGAGTATGATGTTACCTGTGGGCTTGTCATATATGGCCTTTATTATGTTAAGGTACATTCACTATATACCCACTTTGTTGAGAGTGAGTCAATTCTTAATTATGTACCATAGGCATTTTCCCCCTCTAATTCTATAAAAATATTTTGTGTAAAAGCAGTATAATATTTTTGATATCTTTTTTTTACAGTTACCCTTAATTCTATTATCCTAACAATTTCTTTTTATTATTTACCATCCTTTTTACATTGTCCTTATGCAGAATTAGTTTACATTGATATAATTGCAGTCCATGTATAGTTTGGTGTTCTACTTTTAACATTTTGGAGGAATTTTATATTTTCTCCAAACAATACATAATTTCTATGATTTGCATAATTTTCTGGGATTTGCAATAGCCACATAATGTTATAAAAAGACAATGTTGCATGCTGTTTTAGCCATATTAAGTGGGGTTTTAGCCACACTCTTGTAGTTGACCATTAGTTTGTTTCCAATTCGTTTTGCACTTAACACATGCCAAAATAAACATCTTTCTGATGCTTATTTTTTAATATTTTTATTAAAAATATTATATTATTAATATATTTTAATATTTGTAATATACAAAATAACATTCAAATAATACAAAATATACAAAAATATAATATTTAATAATACTTTTCTTCTGTTGAGTTAATATTTGGGGATAAAATTTCAAGGATATTATTGCTGAGCTTGGGCACAAACTTCTTTTTAAGTTTTTGATATGTTTTCTCATTTTGCTTTCTGAAGGCATGTTACTCGGCAGTGTCACTGCCTCTTACTTGTTTTGTTGATTTTGCTGATTTAGCCAATGTAAAATGGTACCACCAAGTTGTTTTTATGTGTTTCTTGTTTTGTTTCATGTAGAAAGTGGTGTGTATTTTCCATGTGTTAGTATATTTCCTTATCTCAATTACATCTTTATTATACTTTGTTCAGTTACCAACTTGTAGTTTTCTGTAAAAATTTGAATTAATTTTATTTTATAGTTTATTTTAATACAGCTTTTCTCCCATCTTTTTTACCTTTTTAATTTAATGAGATAAACTGTGTTCTTTTATAATTAATAAATGGTTCAGCCTAATATTCTATTCCTTCAAAGTTTACAAAGTCATTGTCCTCACAGAGATTTGATGAAAATTATTTTATTTATTGGCTAGATTTTTCTGATTGGAGTCTTAAAATATATAACTTAACTCACATGGAATTTATTTTAGGATAACACATGAATCTAAGTCAGTATTTTTTCCTCTCAATATATTTCCATTAAATATTCACTTTCTGTTTTAAGTCCTATTATATTATATGGTTGAGTCAAGCTTTTATTTGTGATTCTTGAACCAAGCCTGGGAGATCACTTTGCCTTTATTTCAAATTATATAATGCCAATGGTTAAAACATCATATAAATAAAAGTTATCAATCACCGATTTAAGAATATTTCCATACTACAATCATTATTTTGATCCCAAGTTATACTAGAGTTTAGGCTATTCTATGATTGTATATAGATATGACTACTTTGCTTATTCCTTATATCCTGCAATCATATAATTAAAGAGGTTTATCTGTAATAAGTGAAAAAGATTTTTAGCATCACCCAGACTTGTATGTAGATTATTTTCTTGTAAGCAATAAAATAGAGCGCTGTAGATTCTCCTTATACTATCGAAATGAGCTTTTTCAGTTTCACTTATAGGCTGTATTAGATTTGCAAATAGTATTCATTTATCCTTATTGATATCTTTTGGCTGATTCTTTGAAAGAACTTGTGTGGTAGCTTGCTTGTATTTTAGTTTTTTTATTTTTATTTTGTTGCTTTCCCTTTTTGTGCTTTTTATTTAGCAGTTACTCTGGAAACAACTTGTGGAGTTACATAATGTAAAACTGTCATTTTAAAATTCAGAAACTAAAGTACAGAGGAACCAAACTTATTTGGGAAAAATCACACAACTAGAAGGGTGGAGTCTATGATCTTCCTACTCCCCAGCCTGTGCTTATTCTTCATACCACATTGCCCCATTCTTTCATTCTTGAAGTATAAGGCATAAGTGTTGGCTATCGGTATGTGCAAAAATTAGATAAAAGTTATGATATCAGTTATATGTAGAATCTAAAAAATACTACAAACTAGTGAATATAATAAAAAAGAAGCAGACTCTTATAGAGTAAACTAGTGGTTACCTGTGGGGTGGGGCAGTGGGAAGTACAAACTATTGGGTGTAAGATAGGCTCAAGGATGTAGTATACAGCACAGGGAATATAGCCAATATTTTGTAATAACTGTAAATGGAAAGTAACCTTTAAAAATTATATTTTAATCTTTTTAATTAGATAAAAATAACAATCCAATTGCCAGTGGACTGATGGATGCTATTGATTCATTATTTTGACTTAAATATATGTTGAAATTCGAGTTACAACTTTGTTTTTGTACATATGCTTTGTGTTAATAGGCCTGGATAAAATCGAATTTCTTCAAAGTCATGAAAATCAGGAAATTTACCAAAAGGCTTTTGATCTGATTGAACATTACTTTGGTGTAGAAGATGACGACTCCAGTATTGTACCTCACGTGGATGAAAACCAACAACAATTTGTATTTCAGCATCAGGAAGCACCAATGGAAGGGTTTCAACTTTAACTTGGTAGGAGGAAAAATTAATGTCTAAAAAGGGTAGCTTCAGATATCTCCTTTTTCTTGTAATGTCATTAGGAATATTTGATGTGTTTTTATGTAGAACAAAAAAAAGACGTTAATGCACTTTTAAAAAGCAAAACAAAACAAGTTTCCATCCATATGCAACCTTTTATTATAGTTTTGTTGTTATTTTGGTGTGCCTGTATATATGTCTTTCATTGTTTTATCTTTTTTTTGTATCTATTTGTGACCAGTTAAATACATTATGAGATTATTTAATAATTTAAGCCTGAAAAGGAAAACTTTAGTAAAGTATTACAGTAATGGTTCTGAATTTTTCTAGCATTCTTAGAAACTGCACATTAGCAGTACAGCTGTCGATAATTGCATTTTGGCAGTAAGTTTGATATGCCCATTCTTTACTAAATCTACCTCTCAAAGCAAAAACAAAACAAAAGAGCTTCAGAAGCATGAAACAGAGAAAAAGCTAAATTAGAATGTGAAAGTAGCTGTTACCTTAAATTATAAATCACTGTGCTATGTTATACTTTGCAAAAAAAAAATTACTACAGAAAACCTGTAAAAGTTACTTATAAAATACAGAAGAAATATTGTACTGATAATCAATTAAAATGTGGCAATTGTGAAGAGAGAAGCTGTTCTTCATGTTGAACACATTAAAATGATTACACAACATTTAAATGTTTGTGTTTTTAACATATAAATGCTATTATATTAGTATATTTTGTATTTTGACCAAATATGCCAACATTTTTGGAATAGTGTTTTATTATTTTTTCACTGCTCATTTTAAAGAGCATCATGAGATGCCATCATGAATCTAAAGTAGTGCTGCATAGCAAAAATAATACTGTATTCCTTTCTCTGATTTTTCAGAGCAGTAATTGAAAAGTTTCACTTTCTATGTAATAATGAACTTAGGTACTTGAATGGCAAAATTCTCCTGAAGAAATCACCTTGTTATGTGTTAAATTTCATTAAATGGACTTAAATGGTTTGGACACAAAAGGATGCTATTCATGAAAATTACTAAGGATTCTTTAATTGGGTGAACCCTATATTAGGATTTTTTTCCCCTTTGGTGATCCTCAAAGGGTCAAACTGCTGCTTGTTAATGAACCATCGTATTAGATTACATTTGTATCAGATACGTCAATATAATATTTCTGTTTATGTATTAACAGCAAAAACCTCTTCATACTGTGAAACTTTTTAAAAAAAGTTTCAATAGAAAATTATATATATATATTTATTTACAAATACATATATATTTGTGTGTGCGTTTTTCTCACAGTACTATACTTGGTAGTTTTCTAAGCAGATATGGTACTGTTGAATCAGTCTTTTCATCATTATAGTTATGTGCAGGCTATTTACATTTCCAATTGTATACCTAAAATACTTGTTTAAAAATTAGTTTACTGATGTTTTAAGATGGGAACTAAAAGCATTTTTGATATGATTCATAGTCTATTCTGTAAAGAAAGGTTTCATTTATGATAGCATTTATAATGTTTCTGCTGGAAATCAGAGGTATGTTACAAAAAGGAAATGTATATAGTAGTACTTTTAAATAGTATGACACTTTGTAAATTAAATATCATGAAACTAAGCTTTTGGCAATACACTTAAAAACCTACAAGCTATAGAATACAGGTTTAAATGGTGTCCACAATGCTGACTGCATCTGCCAAACCTCTTTTATATTGTTAAGTAGAAGATTGTATCTGTGCTCTTTTTATTGTAGTAGAAGTTATGAAGTTCAGTATATGTATATTCAAAAGAACAGGGTAGTTATATTAAAGATCACCAAATTGATGGTGAATTTATCAGATAAACACTTTTTTGTGATGCAGATAGTCTATAAGTATCAGGTGACAGGGTGTTCCACTCTTTCTAATCAATTGAACTTGTTAATGCAGCATAATTCATAGACTAACCAGCTGTGCCTGCTTTTTTTTTGAGGACCCTGTAGTCACATTAATAAATCTTTAAGCTAAGTCTTTCAAACAAAATAGTTCTTACAGAAGGAAAAATAATAGAAATAATAGAATGACCTTTGAGGGGAGGATTTTTAAATTTTTGCCAGTGAAATAAGCATTATATCTCTAAGTATAGAATTTGACCATATTTTAAGCATTTATATATAAAATTATATTTAATTCATTGGATCTGTTACTTGGGTAATTAATTTGATTAGATGTGAATGCAAAGGGTAATATGTAATAGTTGGTGTGGTGATGACTTTATTGAACCAATACTAGCAAATACTTTGTTCCTAAAAATTTTTTTAATATGACTACTCTTTTCAAATGTACTATTTTAAATGCTCCAAAATGTATTTTCATTAATCTTCACTGACCCTTGTGGGAAAATTTTTCTTTTTTCAACTTGCTTTCCTAAGATTTATTATATTTTAATCCGAGAGAAACTGTGCCAAAAAAAAAAATGAAAACATGTTGTAAAAGGGCAATGCATGCAACATTAATGTAAAAATCAAGAGAATACTTGAAAGAGTCCTTTACATTTATTGAATTAAATTCGGTGTTTTATTTTTGTCTGAATTTGAATTTTTACTAGCTAATCTATGCAATTATGCTTACTTGTTTTATATTTGTAAGTACTTGACTCAATGCCCTGGGGGTTTTTTTTACTCTGTTTTATTTTGAAAATTGTTCCTAGAACTTAATTGTTAGTGTCATTTTGTTCACTTGCTGATAGCACTAGAACAAGCAAGCAAAAAATAAAAACAAAAAAAAAGTGATAAAATCTGTTGGCACAGAAACGGCATATCATTTGGTAACTGTAAAACCTATTTGCAGATAAAGGTTGATTTTTTTGGATAAAGGACTTTTGTTGGACAAAGCATTACCTTTGCCTTCATATTTTTTCTTCTCTCAAGAAGGAGCATTTATGGATAAAGTAATTATAATACAAAGTCTTTGTGTATTTTTGTTGCTGTTCTAAATTCAGCAATCTACTGGCTGCTTTGTGAAACTGTGAAATCAAAGTAATTGTTGTTAACCTTTACTCATTTTAGTTCATAGCATTACTGTTTTATGAAATGTAACATATTAGGAGCCCATATGATGGATCTCTAAAAGGATAATGCATCTTTAAATTCTAATTGGGAAATGGGATGAGGGGAAGATATTCTTGCCAAACTAAATAAACCAACATTTGAGTAGTATGCAATATTATGAAATGTTACAGCACTATATTAAAAATAATAAAATACTATTTTACAATTGCATTTATATAAGTGTCTGTTTCACTTGTTTTCACTTATGATTGTATATGCCTAATAAAGCAAAAATAGATGCCCTGATTCATTAAAATTCCATCCCGTTTATAAAACCAGTAAGATTTCATTGGTAGCATTATCTGATAAAGTAGTATGTTGCTTTTATTTTAGAACTTGTATATTCAGCTGTAACGGGGAACATATCCAATTTATCTTTGTAGCTCAAGTCTTGGCAGTTAGTGGGACATTCACATGTTTCAACTGAGATTACTTTTACTTTTCTGTTATTTTAATGCAATACAATGCATTTATTTAAGGCTTCGAGTTTTAAACCTAATAAATACGAGGGAATGTCTGATTTAACTTCCTTAATATACTGTGAAACACAAAATCACACAGTAGCCAAGCTTAGGCCCTCCTAGCTTACTGTTTTTATTTTTTTCTTCTTCCACTACCATGGTTTTCTGTTGTTCATTTTGTGTGTGTGTGGGGGGGGGGGGTGTTTGTTTGCTTTGGCTGGCGTCATTTCCTTCAGTATTTGAAACTGTGTTAATCACAGAGTAGTGAAACTAATTGGATCAATTATTTTTAGGGTTTCTTGCTCCCAGTAAAGTGGTTGGCAGTTTTAGTGGGAAATGAATTCCTGAAAATGTATGAAAAATATAATGTACAAGTCAAACAATAGATTTAAACACGCAGTGGAGGTCCCATCGCAGAAATCCTTAAGTATACCCTTTAATTATGTGTTTACTCAGTTGTGTATTTGTTCTTTCATTTTTTTCCTTTGATATTTGAACAGTTTACCACTGAAATTAAATGAGCATATAATTCCCCCCTTTCAGGACATCTACTGATTTTCATGTTTGCTTCAGTAGTTTAAGTTTTAAGAGATACATACATCATATCATTATTAGTAGCACTTTAACATATCAATTTTCCATTCTGTTTTGAAATAAAAATTTCAAGTAGTTGCACTTCCAAGCACTGCTGTATAGCACTACCAGAACTAAAATGTTGATTGGGAGCAACCCCACCAAGTAAAGAGCTTGGAGTGTTTACTAGTTTATGCATAAATATTTAAATTTGGAAACAGTAGGCAGTTTAGGGAATTTAATGTGCAATTCCCCAGAGTACCTGTTATTTAAAAATTGGGAGTTTTAAACTTTGGACAATATTACTTTTGAGGGATCCCTCCTGTTCCCTTTCAGTTATGGTTGTTTTTTTAAACTGTTCTAAAAAAGCATGGCAAAGTTTAATATATTCTTTGTTTAGGTTTTCAGCATGACTATTTTCTGAGCATTCCAACATTTTTTTCTTTTTACATCTTTATTGGAGTATAATTGCTTTACAGCGGTGTGTTAGTTTCTGCTTTATAACAAAGTGAATCAGTTATACATATACATATGTTCCCATATCTCCTCCCTCTTGCGTCTCCCTCCCTCCTACCCTCCCTATTCCAACCCTCTAGGTGGTCACAAACCACCAAGCTGATCTCCCTGTGCTATGCGGCTGCTTCCCACTAGCTATCTACCTTACGTTTGGTAGTGTATATATGTCCATGCCACTCTCTCGCTTTGTCACAGCTTCCCCTTCCCCCTCCCCATATCCTCAAGTCCATTCTCTAGTAGGTCTCTGTCTTTATTCCTGTCTTACCCCTAGGTTCTTCTTGACATTATTTTTTCTTAAATTCCATATATATGGGTTAGCATACGGTATTTGTCTTTCTCTTTCTGACTTACTTCACTCTGTATGACAGACTCTAGGTCCATCCACCTCATTACAAATAGCTCAGTTTCGTTTCTT